GGGACCTAGTACAGTTCCGCAGGGCCTGCAAGACGGAACTCTTCCACCAGGCTTTTATGTAGGAGCTGCCACTAATACTACCACCACCACCACTACCAACGGTGTTGGCAACAAATGGAGCAAGGAGACGGCCTTACGGAAGATCTGGCCATAATACAGCACTGGGCTGGTACCGCTAGCTTGGACAGTTTAACATCTACTGGACCCTACCTACCTCCATGAAAAAGCACCTAGCTATAATGAATGACCATCTTGTTTAAATTTGAGCACTTTATTTGTAATAGTCGTTGGTTTTATTGTTTTTACCCTGTTTTTATGTATGGGCATATTTTGCCCTCTTGTAAGCCGCCCTGAGCCCGTTCGCGGGGAGCGCAGGGTATAAATACAAAAATAAATAAAATAAAATAAATAGAGCCGCCAAAAGCACAAGTTCGGCCCTGGGAATCTTCACACAAACTCTGGGCCCGGCTTCACCTGGATTTTGCGGTGCCTTTCCTGAGACAAATCTTTTTTTATTGGTTGATGCAAATACGAAGTGGCTAGAGGTAGTCCCCGTAGCCTCCACATCCTCCAGATCCACCATCCGTGCAATGTGGTGTTTTTTTAGCACACACGGGTTACCCGACACATTGGTCACGAACAATGGGACAGCATTCATGTCCCTTGAATTCCTGGAATTCACACAATACTATGGCATCCGGCATGTACGCTCAGCCCCGTTCCATCCAGCCACCAATGGCCAGGCGGAGCGCATGGTCAGGACAACTTAGGACGCACTCCGCCACATGGATCCCAGGGATTGGGAATAGAAGTTGGCGGTCTTCTTGTTCGGACAGCGCATGACCCCCCATACCACCACAGGTCGCTGCCCAGCTGAGCTCCTCATGGGCCAGTGCCTCACCACTCGGTTAGACCGTCTTCACCCAGACCGGGCTCCAGAATACGACATGGCTAACCAGGACCAAGCAGCTGCCAGGGGGTTCTTCCCAGGGGATCCAGTGTATGCCAGAAACTACCCCTGGGGCCCCGCATGAATCCCCACCAAAATAGTACGGGTCACGGGGCCGCGCTCTTATGAGGTATCCTGTAAAGACAGGCAGTTGCTCGAAAGGCATATTGACCAGCTGCACCACCGGCTCACCAACCCTGATTCCAAGGCTCCCGAATACAGCGAAGTCGAGGAAGCCAGCCCAGGGGAGCCGGCATGCCCCGCTCACCCGCCGGCTCCCACAAGTGCCCCGACAGAAGACAACGGCAACCCCGCACCAGCCCCCACACCAGACCCGGCGGTATGCCCACCGAGCTCGAAATCCCAACCTCACCTCAGGGACTTGCAAGCCCAACTCCAGAAGCGCAGACACACAGCCCGGAGGTGCGCCATTCCTCAAGAGCATGGCGCAAACCCAACTATCTCACAGACTATGTCTGCTAGAGGATGGTCCGGACCATAGGGGGAGGGGTGTTGTGTTCCGACAGAGACCGCACATGTGGTCGAACCAAGTATGCAGTCTCCCGAACAACCAGAGCTTCGCTCCCAGAAACAATAGGGACTGAGGATCCTAGAAACAGCCTATCAGCTAATCCGTATCCTCAAGGGAACCTATCTAATGGAAGTTAATGTAAATAAGCCAATCATGGGTGTGTGGGTGTGTGTGGGTGTGGTTCTGTGTGTGCATTTAAGCAGCCCGCTGGCTTGCCCTTGTATCTCAAGTTCTTGAAATCACTAAGTATGAGCTGAAATCACTCAACAATGTGTCAGTCTCAGTACGTGGGGCCCAGCCCCCCTGTGATTTTAATGGGCCCCCTTCCCAATCCTCGGCTCCCCCGCCCCTTCCCATCAGCAGCTCCTGGCCACCTGGAGCCCTTCCTCGGCGCTGCCCTCCGCTTCCCCGGCAGCTCCAAAGCGCTGGCCGCGGCCAAGAAAGGAGGCAACTCCGGCGAGCTGGAGGGAACCCTCAAGTCCTGCGGCGGAGGTGGCGGAGATCCCTCCGGAGTTAAAACACGGCGTTAAAACCTCGGAGGCGGCCGGGTCGGATTTCCGCCCGGGTCGCCGCTCGCTCCATTGTTCCCTGGGCCCTCCTTTGTGAATTGTTAATTGTGGCCGAGCGAGCGCGAGCCAAAAGGCCCGGCCAGGAAAGTTCGGCGGAGGCCCGGCAGGCTGCGGCGGCGGAGGCAGGGGGGAAGGAGCCCGGCCCCGTGTGGAGAGCCCCCGTGCGACCGTCTCCCTGGCGTTGGACACAGTCAGCAGGGTTTCTCTGGCCGCTGCCAGAATGTATTGTGTCGTTCTCATATTATTCATTGCCAGTCAGATTGATAACGTGTATCTGAGTTGGCTTGCCGAGTAAAGTGAACTACGTCAGAAGCAACTCAACCGCACCGTTCTTCTTGCAACCAAGCGGTCAGCACAAAATTGGTTCGCCGTCCCTTTAAAAGAAGTGGCTCCCTTTACAACACTTAACTACAGCGGAATCCCAGACTGGATAACCCCGCCCTAGCAACCGCGGACCAATGGCTGCGTGGGAGGTAGGATGGCGGATGTTCGCGTTCCTCTGTGTGGAGCTTCCTGATTGGGAGATGAGTGGTTCGGCGCGTGTCTATAAGGTAAGAAGCTTTTTCTCAATGTGGCTAAGCGAAGGAGCCTTTTGGTTCATCCGCTCTTGTTCCTAGTCCCGGAATCTGTTCCCGCCAACGGCAGGCTGTCAGCAGTTGTAGGCGACCACTTCCAGGGCCCCTCTGGAAGCACCTGCCAATATGTTATACCGCTCAAAAAGCAGGCAAGGAGGAATGAGACCTCTTCCACCTCAAGGGTGCGTGGAGGATCCCCGTTTTCCCCATGCACTGTTCTTCATTCAGCCTACGTTAACTTTCCCTGTCCTCTTGGTTCTGCCATCATGCTAAAACGTGGAGTGTAAGTTCTTGGCCTCTGTGCCACATACCTCTCTGCCACAGGCCTAGTTAAGTAACGGTGGTATGTAGATAAAAGTAATATAGGATAAAATTAGGAGCTCTCCTGAGCCACTGCTCCTTCAGATATCTGAGGAAGTGAGCAGTGACTCATGAAAACTCATACCCCCTGCCACAAATTTTGTTAGCCTTTGAGGTGCTACTGGACTCTTGCTCTTTTCTCCTCCAGTAACAGAGGACTTCAAGTTTAAGTACTACTTTAGGACAGTATTGGGGTTAGTGGAAAGGCTCATGTCATGCTTTGTTTCCATCCCTAACGTCTCCAGTTAAAGGTCAGTTGGTGCTGGGAAAGACCTTTCATTGCTTGCCAACCTGGGGAGAGCCTGTCAGGCACAGCTAGACCTACCAATGGTCTGAGTGAGCGAATACTGTCTTGTTCCTTCACACTCTTTTCACTCCACTAGTTTACATAACAAAGCATTTGAAACACCAAATACCACTGCATTACTCTCCTGCCAGTCAGTCTGATACCACCCTCACAGAGTCATGTGACAACCGCTATTCCCTCTCAATTAGAGGGAACATTGGTGGTGGGCCCCCTGAGAAAAACACGGGCCCCCTGAGCAAAAAGTTGTTAGCTACGGGCCTGGCAAACACCCTAGCAAGAATCTATTATATTAACTACTATGCACTATATAAAAATATCAAGCAGAACTTCACCATAAATATACATATACTGTAAATATGTGTTTTACTTTCTTCCAGCCTATATGCTGGGGAGTCATGTGGTACCCAAAAGCTTCTGAAAGGTTGATGGAAAAATCTTTTCATAAACGAATTGTTATTATTTTCTCTTAAAAGGGGTAGAATGAAAAAAGGGGTAGGGGAGAAATATAGATTAATCAAATTTGTAAAGTATTATTAATTGTTACGTACAATAAGTAAAATCAGATATATTACCAAATGTATTACATATTTCAAATACAAGAGCAAACAATAAAACAATAATACTACAGAATTACAAAATTTGGGACATATTCTCTCTTTAAAGAATGGACAAAAACTTTCCTAAGGTTAACGATAATCTATTAACAATGGAGGAAATTATGTCTTTAACAATTGAACAGATTTCTATACTAAAATTAAAACAGTGTAAGAACCTTATAGTTAATATCTTCATCACCTTTAATATGATATTCAGTAATTCCAGAATTTAAAAAATAGTTGTTTCCATAGCAATTCTAGCAGCAATTTGAAAGTATATCCACCATTGTATCTCCCTTCCTTCTTTTTAATCTCTTGCCATGACTTGATATCACCTTGAGAGTTTATCATGTTGCCATAAATTACAAAATCATTGTTTTTTCTTTGTTCAAAAAGCATCTATTGGGGACATTATTAATGGAATTGTAGGGCTGATTCTCTTTCGTGGCATTTCCTCAATTTTAAATAAGGTGTCTCTGATTATATGTCTTTTATCTTGGGTTTTGGTTTTTGATACAGATTTTTTAATCCACAGATAGCTATGTAGTCCATCAGCAAGATTTGAAGGTTCTAATTTTATCAATCTTTCATTGGGACTTCTGACCCAATCTGATATCCAAACTAGCCCAGCGGCTTGGTAATATAATTTAATGTTAGGTATTGCCAGACCACCTCTTTTCTTCTCATCTTGCAGTACTTTAAATCTTATTCGTGGCTTCTTATCTTTCCATACCAACTCATTTTTCTTTGCCAGTCACTCAAAGTCTTTTCAGGAACTGAAATTGGAATAATCTGTACCAAAAAGTTTAATTTTGATAGCACATTCATTTTTATAGCAGAAATTCTTCCTAGCCAGGATAGATGTAGTTCGGACCATCTCTCTAAATCTTTTTATAATTTGGACTAGGTTGTCAAGTAATTGTCCTTTAATAGTGTATATATTCCTAGATATTTGACTGGGTTGTTTGTTACATCACATCCTGAAATTTTCTTAATCTCTTCCTCTTCTTGGGTACTTGAAAATTTTAAAATAACCTTGGTTTTCTTCCTGTTGATTTTATAACCTGAGAAGGCGTCAAACTTGTCAATTTGCTCCACTGCACATTGGAGAGATTGTAGGGGGTTCAAAATTGTAAGGACCACTGTCAGCTAGGCCTTTCTCAAGCCCTGGCTGCCATAGGAGTGGGGGTGATTCTGGAATGTTAAGTTTCATTTCTGCTGTGTCACCTGTGTTTCTATTATCACTATATGACCTTCAGTGCCTAGTGTAGTCGTCCTCTTAGGAAATGTAGCCCGTTACTTTGGTGGGCTTCTACCTGATCCCTGATTGGCCCTGGGCCATCAGGGGCCTCCCATGAATAATGTATATCTGTTTGCTGTGCGCACTTTTCTTCAGTTCTAACTCGAAATGGTTAGGATATCTGCATGCTCTCAATATCTCAATAAACTTTACTTCTTTGAATGAAAGCTGTTGGGAACTGATTGCTGCAGGAGTCTGACAACCATGTCATCTGCATAACTCTTTAGTTTAAACTCCTTCTACTTTTAATCCTTCAGTTTTAATATCTTGCCTTATCTCAGAAATAAAGATTTGCACCACAAGGATGAAGAGAAATGGAGAAAGTGGACATCCTTCATGGGTGCCTTTTTCTATTTTAAATCCATTTGTCAAGACTCCGTTGATTAAAATTTTTGCATGTTATTTTATTTATTTATTTCTCAAATTTCTACCCTTCCTGCCAAGGCCAGCTCAGGGCGGCTTACATAAAATCAGCATATATTTACAGTAAAGCAATTAGAACATTTAAAACGATACGAAAATCAATTAACAATAACACAGCAGGTATTATTGTTGCTGAATCAACGATGGCTACCATCTCAGCTCTTTCTTCCCATAACCGGCTCCTAGATCTTCTTCAGGTGTCTTTCAGGTGGCTGGCACAGGCTGTTGTTGTGAATTCCAGAGACAGCAGGGCTTCCTATCCTTCAACTACTAGTTGTTAATAATGTTTAGTGGTGGTGGTGGCGGCGGCTCCAAAAGCCTGGCGGAAGAGCTCCGTTTTACAGGCCCTGTGGAACTGTAAGAGGTTTCGCAGGGCCCTGATCTCTTCTGGGAGCTCATTCCACAGGCTGGAAGGGAGCCAAGCTACTCTACTTCTCTGTCCCCTTCCCTTGACTCCATGCCTGGGCCCACCGCTATACTTTCCCCTCCCCAGGAGCACAGGAATCACTTGCCTGGTCGTCATCTCGCCTGCTCATCTTTGCCAGCTGTTAGCCTGCTATGGGCATCAGACCAACTAACTTCAATTCTGACCAGGCTAATCTTTCAGCAGCAGACACTGGCTGCCAGTAACTCCTTAATTCGGTGTAACACAGTTTATATGAACAGTTCAAATTACCAGCCGTCTCAATTAATCCAGTAGCCTATGACTGCCTCATTTTCTTTTTTCCACAAAACCCTATTTTTTTTCTCTCCCCCCTCCCATCGGTTTAGCCAGCAATTCAAACATAAATTTAGGTGAGGCTAAACACAAATCTGTGGCACATTTAGTTCAGGCGACTGGATAACGTCGTTAATTAGTATCCAACTTGAAAATCTAAGACCACACTTGAAATATTGCAATGTTTTTTTAGAAACGTCCAAGATACATTATCAAAGGCTTTTTCAGTGTCTAAAAACAAAAAAGGCTGCTTTTATTGTCCTTGTGTTTAACATGTTCTATTGCATCAACAACAAAACAAACACTGTCTTTCATATGTCTTTTTGATACAAAACTAGTCCGATCAGGACGAATTATTTTGGAGATACATTTCTTTAATCTATCAGCCATGATTGAAGCAGAAATTTTATAGTCCACATTCAACAATGAAACAGGTCTACATGATTGTGGCGAAGTTGGGTCACTATTCTCTTTATGTAATAGTGTTATATGAGCTTCTTGCCAAAATGGTGGCAATATATTCTTTTCGCTTATGTCATTCAGAACTTTTTGTAAAGGTGAAATTATCGTCTTTTCAAAAGTGTTGTAGAAAATTGCAGTGAGTCCATCTGGTCCTGGTGCCTTATCCTTTTTTAGTTTCTTGATGGCTTGTGAGACCTCTTGTATTGAAATACTTTGATTCAAAATTTCTCTGTCTTCATTCAAAAATTTACAAGTTAAAGCTTCTTTAATATATTCATTCATTCCATTTACTGTTGAACCATCTTTTTAATAGTTTTGGGGGGAAAGTTCAAATTGTTCTTGGATTTCTTTCTTTGTGTAGGTGATACCATCTTTTTCCTGTACACCAATTATTTTCCTCCTTTCAGTTTCTTTACATAGACAGTATGAAAGATATCTTCCTGGTATGTTTGCATGTTGAAAATGTTTTTGTTTTTAAAAACTCAATTTCTTCTGCATTTCTTCAGTTTGAAGCAGATCCAGCTGATTTCTTCTATGTCATGGTCACAGGTTTTTAAAATATCTATCTGCAGCAAGAGAGTATTCAGTCTCCATCTTCTTCCTATAGGCATTTCTCTATGCCATGAAATCCCAAGGTTGTAAGTAAAGTCTTAGATGTCCAACACATATCAATTCTTGAATATGTCTGGTGTCTATCTAAAAAGAAGGTCATCTCTAGAGTGAGGATTGAGTGAAACAGGAAGAAACTTTAGAGGGGAATACCTCCTATGTATTATATACTACGTGTAAGAAGAAGAACAGAGGAGTTTTTTCCAGTTCCATAGAGCTAAGCTATTTGGATAAACTGTAATACATAATAATCTGGATGGGGATTCCTGCCTTCATCAAGCAAGATGCACAATTCCACTTAGAAAATACATACACATGATATAATGGATGGAAAGGTAAATAGGAAGAGTCTGCATGCAACTGCCCCTTTCACCACATTCAAGAATGGGGGGGGGGAATACTTGCCTGATCCATGCTTTCTGGAATGAATTCTCCCTCACTGTTGATACTGGTGAATGACCCATTCCGGGCCACCTGGTGCAGCTCATCTGGAATGTATCCTGGAGGAGGTGAGCTTCTATCACGAGCATAATAACCTTTTAATTTTGAAGAAGTACATTTGAGTAGATAATCATAAAAATCCTTCACCCTTCCCAGAAACAATAGCTTATTTAATTCCAAAAGCAAAGAGGTTCCTGCTTTGTTAAACTTCCACATTGCCCACAAGGTACATATAATCCAGTAAGGCAGAAATTTGAGCATTTTTAAAATTATTTAATAATCAATTGTAATGCATGTTTCAACCTACTTTTATTTATTTGTTGCACTATGTGTGGGAAGATTTGAGTTTTCTCCAATTAGCAGAAGTAAATCACTAGGTGGTAGTGTTTTCAAGATTAGCGTACCTTCTGATGAATTATCAAAACATACTCCTCATTTCCTTTTGGCTAGAAGCTTGCCTGCAGTAAAACTGCATTTTCCACTGAATCTGCAAGTTAACTGTGTATATGCAATTTCTGACCACCAGCACAATTTTGACTTGCTGTAGGACAAGTGTAACAGGCCAAGTATTAGTTATTGCCCACAAAATTGACAGCACACTGCCCCCCAAGACATTTAAAACATTTAAAGTGATTCCTCATTTTTCTGTGCTTGAGCCGAGTGCTCCACACTGTACCACTTCAATGGAAGCACCATTAACAATCTCCAAAGACACACACCACCAAAGCCAGGACAGTGGTGTGTCATATCACCCACCAGTTTTAAAAATTAACTATACAGTTTGTGCTTGTCATCTTTCAGAGGCAAGGACAAACACTGCATTTCAAGGGGGAAAATGAAGGACACCCAATCCCTCTGCAACACAGATATTCTCATAGAAAGTAGTACCAGGAATTCTCACACCCATTTCACAGAATCTGACGGGGCTCCTTCCATTACAGTGAAGAGTAGCATAAATCTGACTGCTAAAGTCTGTTTACAGCCTCCAATGCTCACCCTGGTTTGTCTACTAGATGATAAAAATCCACAAGCTATGACAAGGCTATCAGTTTTTGCAGGACTGTAGACATCAATTTTTGATGTGGATCCCTTGGATAATGCAAATTCCAACATGGTGCCCACACAAAAGTGGCAGCTTTTTTTTGTCAAAGTTTTCCAAATCATATAAGAAAAAAATCATACTGTCATTTGTACTGAATGTGGAATTTGAATATTATAGTATAACTAGGAACAAGGACGTTATGGCAATAAAGACAACTGGTGCTAGGCAGGCTGGCCAGCGGCGGCTCCCCTCGTGTCTTCCCTCCCATCGCTCGAGACCCCAGGGGGCCAGGCCGCCTGGGCATGGCCCCTCCCCAAACCCTACCGCCAGCGGAGGCCCCAGCAGGCCAGGGCGCCAGGCTTCGTCTGCTCCCCCGGATGGGGGCCTCCAGAGGACTTTTTGCGTCCTGACAGATCAGCAGGCAAGTGGGGAAAGCTGGTGAAGGGGCCTCCAGAGGCCTTTCCCCGCCAGGGTGGCTCGGTGGGTGAGGAGAGGTGGCGCGGGGGCCTCCGGAGGCCTTCCCTCCATCCGGCTCGGAAGGCGAGTGGGGAGATGGGGCACGGGGGCTTCCAGAGGCCCGTCCCTGCTGGGCGGGCGAGCGGGGAGAGGTGATGCGGGGGCCGCCGAAGGCCTTTCCCTGGCAGTCCGCTTCGGTGGATGCCCAGCCAGCCACCTGTGGCCTGGCTCAGGCGATAGCAGCAGGTTCGGGCTAAGTCCCCCCCGGAGCGCCTGTCTTGTCCGTCGTCCGGCTGCATGCAGTCTGGCCAGCGAGTTGCGCTGGAGCGAGGACGACTGCAGCGGCAGCTGCACGATCGGGCTCTGGTCCCCGGCCGTCAGAGCGTCTAGCCCATCCACCCGCTGCAAGGAGAGTGAGGCCGAGATGCCAGGTGCCGCCTCTGTGGGCGGGACCATGGCAAGGGAGGCAGCAACGCAGCCAGTGGAGACAGACGCCCTGTGCCAGACCATCCAGGGTGCCAACCAGTTCCGGAGCGTGTCGAATGTTCTGGAGAGTGCCATCTCCACAACACTTTTATAATATAAGGAGATTCTTGGAAGGTTATTAGTAAATTGTTATATATTATAGTTTTCACAGTGATTTTTGTTTGTTTACCTTTCCTTTACACCGTGTTACCATCCTGTTTTGGTCTGTAAATATTTAAATGCCTGGCAGCCATTTCAGTACTCCCTTTCGCTTCCCCACTCCAGAGCTGGAGGAACTGAAATGGATTCCTCCCATTGAAACTGACAAGCCCGGCAGGTCCTCCTGTCAGCTGATCAGCTGCCCTGGGAGGAAGCCTTAAACCTTTCCATTTCCCCCCCAATCTGAATTGGGGGGGGAGCAAAACGGAGGAGTTAAATGGCTTCCTCCCAGGGAAACTGATCAGCCTGAGGGATCTGCCTATTGATATTCCTGGGAGGAAGCCTTTAACCCCCTCCGCTTTGCTTTAAATACCTTTCCTCCCCTCCGTGAGTTGTGCCACAGCAGCAGCATGCATCAGAGAAGGAAGGGAAGGTATTTAAAGAGACTACCTTCCCTTCTCTCCCTGATGGGTGTTGCTGCCATAGCACGACTGGGGAAGGTACGGAGTCAAATAAATTAGGCAATACCAATTATTTCCTGAATAATTGGGATTCAGGAATATCAGTATATACTGATATTTTTCAGGTTTGGTATACCCAAACCTGAAAAATACCGAATTATTTTTTTGGGTGCACACCTCTAATCTTGAATATAAATGCATAAAGAAGTGAATTTTGAGCAGAATTTTTTTTTATTTTCTTATTATGAGATACATAATATACTTTCTTTTGTACTTTGATATATTACCTATCTATTAAAATTTATAGCGAGTATGCAGACGTGGTGAAATATGTAATAGTGAAATTGGGCAGATCATGAGAGGGAGGGGCAGGAAGGGTTGCATCTGTGCTTAGTTCTCGTGGCCCTTTCTTACATGCCCAGGGAAATGCTGATTGCCATTTTGGGGCCAGAAAGCAATTTTTCTCCAGGCCAGTTTGGCTGGAGATCCTGGAGGTCTTTGTCATCTTCTGGGTGTGGAACAATGGTCACTGGAGGTGTTGAGGGGGAGGTATTTGAGAATTTCCTACATTGTGTAGAGGGTTGGACTAGATGACAGTGGTGGTCCCTTCCAACTCTATTATTCTATGAATATGTAGTAATGATGAAACTAATAATGTAGTTGCAAAATAGATCAGTTAGGAAATTTGAAATTTAAAATGTTGAATATAAATGTACCCCAACAGAAGAGGACCATTGTATTTTACAGATAATGTCTTAAAAATTATAATGAAGGGGATGTTGGGGAGAAATATTTTCTGTTTTCTATACTCTAAAATATTGTATGATATATACAATTGGGTTATATAATCCCACTTTTCCTTTTTGTATCCCCTCTATAATATTACTTTATTTTCAAAATTTTATACATACACACACACACACCCCACGCCAGAGTGAGCTCAGAGTGACTCATGGGTGGGGCCAGACCCATCTGGAAGTTGTGAGCACTGCTGTTCATTTTGTTGGGACTCTCACAGGAGACCTTTACCAATGAATCTTATTCTACAAGACTGAATATGTAAATCTGAATATGTTCTCTTCTGATGCTTGCAGAGACTCAGCGGACTGGGATGAATGCAGATCAGCTCTGGCTAGGCTGCTGCTTGGTTATGCATGCAGAATGCTGGGAAGATTACCAGTGGCAAAACTCCCCTGGGCTCAACGGAGAAACTAGGCCTGGCAAACCAAACAATTCTCATTTTATTAAAAAAAGAAGGAAGGAAAAAAAGACTTGTCAATTCTAGGATCCTGGCAAGCCCAGCTATGAAAGAACAAAAAGAAAACGAAGTAATAAGCCGGCTAATATTCAGAATCAGGCCTCTGACACATGTCATTCAGCAGTTAAAACTAAGAATCTGAAAAATGATCTATATAAATTTTCCTACAAATAGAGAAGGGGCTGCGGTGGCTCAGTGGTTAAGACGCTGAACTGCAGACCAGAAGGTCGATAGTTCAGCAGTTCGAGACCCGAGTGCTGCATGACGGACCCATGTCTGGTCCCAGCTCCTGCCAACCTAGCCGTTCGAAAGCAATAAAATTGCAAGTAGATAAATAGGTGGAAAGGTAAGTGTTCCGTGTGTCTCAGCGTCTAGTCATGCTGGCCACATGGCCATGGAAACGTCTTTGGACAGTGTTGGCTCTTCGGCTTGGAAACAGAGATGAGCACCGCACCCTAGAGTCAGATCCAACTGGCTTTCGAGCAAGGGATACCTTTGCCTTTACAAATAGAGATCTGCACACAAACTCTTCCCAGTGTTACAGTTTTAGATGAGTGACTTTCTCACACACTTCTGTGGCTTAAACCCTTTATGTGGAGAGTGTATATTACACTGACATCTACCATTCGGGAATTAAAATTCATTGCAAAAAACTGCCATTAATACTTCAACCCTGCTTATCTTACAATTTTAGACAAATTATTTTTGCATGGACTATTTGGGCTTAAAATTGTTATATGGAATGCCACCCTTAATGGAAGGAAAACATCTAACTATTTGTGCAAAGATTTTTCCATAAGAAATGTTCATCAACTTAAAGACAACCCTTACTCACAAATACACTTCAAAATTACAGAAAAACAAAAATGCATTACCTATTACAGAAAGCCTGCTTTTCCTCTCTGTCACTCTGAAAACTGTATTATCCAAGTCTTCTAATGATGGCAGAGGGTCCATGTTACCCTGGAGGTGAAAACATATTATTGTTTATCCTCTCAAAAAGTGTAAGACACCTTCCACGCATGGAAGAAAATACTGGGTTTTTTGCATGAGCAAGATGTTTCCATGCCATTTATCAGAGACTAATCTGATCTTGAACTGGGGCTGTTGATCAGCTCCCAACTCTACACATTTCAATTCAGCAGCTTCCTTGCCGTGTCTAATGGACAATGGAACAAAGATACATAACATGGAAACTGGAATAATTCATATCTAGAAAAAACATTCCAGTTCTAACAACAAAACATATTCCCTTCTAGTACATAGTAGACTACATTTGCCCTAATTACTCATAATGACAGCAATCTGCAGTAACAGATTAAAAATAAAGTTGAAAATGTGATACATTTTTTTCAGCAAATAGCACCCTTTAGTCTGTCTTGAGCCACATCTGTTTCTCTCCTTTCCAACACTCTGATGAAGCAAGTAGGAGGAAGAAAAATTTATATTATGGTTTCAGAGCTGATACAGCAGCTCAAGCACCATGCCCACTCTAGAAGATTATGCCATTTATAGTTTTCATGTGGGTTGTATATGTATATATATATTACTATATATAACACAGTGTAATCATTGTTTATACATGCATTACATGCATAGGTTCACACCTGTGAGTTTCCATGGGCAACAAGCAATATCTTGAGGCTTTTCATGTGAACACTACGATCAAGGAGCTCAATAGCTTTGTCCAAGTCCTCCTGGGTGGTTAATGGGATCACCAACTGGATAAAAAACAAACACAGATATAGTTGAGCAAGGACAAAACCCAACCCATCCACAGGTGGCGTCATAAAGGAACAACAATTTCCTTGTTATTGACACCTTCCCAGACAGCATGCCCCTTTCATATCACCCACCAATCTACAATTGAGGAGTCTAGTAGAATGCAGCAAATACAAACACACAAACACAGGCTTGTAATAGGTACACAGTAAATGTCGTACTGGAAAAAACACAACCTCTTAGTGGAAGAGGAACATGGAGAGGAAGACACCTGTTGACAGCCACATCACAACGCCATGGAGTACGAGGTACTGTGCATGTGTGTGAGAAAGGGGCTGATAATAGCAATAGTAAAAGGAAAGCAGAGTGTACAACACTGTGAGTACCCACGGCGGGGAGGACTCACAGCTTTGCAGCTTATCAGCCAACTTTTAAAAAGTTCCCAGTTTTCATTTCAAACAATACTGCTACCCAGCTTTCCATGTACCACCCCTACATCCAGTGAATCAGGAACCAATATTATACCTCATTATTGCTGTAATGCAAGCTCATTGGCTGTCCAAAGGCAACTTTAGCTTTTGATGAAAGATCTTCTAGCTTGACAGGTTTAGTAAACTGCAGGATTCTGTAATACATGGTTTGGAGGGGGGGAGGTGGAATCCAATGACATTAAAACAAAACACAATCGTAAGAAAGTAACGTTTTCTCTTACCCCTGCCCCATTTACTGAGCAGATAATCCAAGAAAGCACTCATAACAAGATCGTAAAAAGAAAAGCAAATTCTCGCGGATATCAGAGCTGATGCCTGCATCTTTCCTCATTTTATCAGAAGCAAATAAAATATTGCAACATTCCAAAAATATTAATTTTCCCATATACAACTTCCCCCTTTCTCTCATCCCTTGTAAGACATGTTAATCAGCTAATTAGAAACAGCAATGTAACTTTATCAGACTTAGAAAAGCATGCTTAAGTCTTGTACAGGCTTGAATTCTATAAGTCCATATGCTATTAAGTAAAACTCTATTTTGGCTGAAATACCTTAAAGGTTCTCTATCAAATATATGCTGTTTCATTATTTAAGATGATACAGTGTTGACTCTGTAACAGAAACCCCAACACTTTACTAAGGCGAGAGCGCCACCTAGTGTGTCTGGGATCTTGGCTCCCTGGAGGTTCCACTAGAACGTCCCGTTCATTTCCACACACTGGATCATTCTGGCAGACTTAATTCCTTTTGTATAAAAGACAATCCAGTTTGGACCAGACCACTTATTTGTCATGGAAGTTCAGCACAATTACCAGATGAGCGATGGAGGCGGGATTATATTTTATAAAGCTCTGACTGGTAACAGTAGCTCTGACATCAGAGATGGGGATTTGCATGGGATTGAAGAAAAAAGCTTGTCATTCTTAGATATGTAGGCAGAATTTTATTGCATGAGGCCAAAGGCTATAACAATATAATAATAGCTGCCCAAGCAGTAATAAATATTACAGTAAAAACACAACAAGGTTAAAAACAATATTAAAATCATCTGAACTAGGACATAGCGTAGAATACAGCATGTTGAACTCAGGGCGAAGGTTCTGGACGAATCTTCTTGGCAGCCAATGCATACAGTGACATCATGTAATGATCATCATCAAATAAGAGGTAGATAATTTTGTCTACCACTGAGTGTGAGACTAGCCTGGCTAAAATGGCTGCAAGGAACTTGGCCCTAGGAACCACATAAAGGTCACAAACAAGGACATAATGAGGGAGATTCTCCAATTCTACGGCTCCACATATACTTACTCGCTGAGCAACTAGTGTATGCCAACTAACATGTCATTGTCATTGTTTGAAATCTGGCTTAAGTTTTGGGGAGGTGATGCTGGACAAATAGGAAGCTCTCTTGTGTTCCCGTTTGAGCAGTTTAAACCATGGGGGGAAATCTGGAACTGCTAATAGTTCCCCTATCTAAGCTTGCATCTATATTGAAATGTCAGATCCTGAGTTTTGAACCCACCCTGCGGGAGGCCCTGGGGGACAACAGGTATTGGGTAATGGCAGAAAAGCCTGTGATAGCTGGCAACCCAAGAGGTATCGTTCTGGAGCTGGATAAAACACTGCTTAGAAGTGACTAGAGACAGGATCAAAATTCTCTTTAGAAAGGAATTTTGTGTTATCTCTAGGCTGGATACCGTATTGTCATCCCATCCCCAGATCTTGACCCCATACAAGAATTGAGTAATGACTTTGGAACAGTTTCAAAGTGGACTCTATAAAAAAACTACCTTTTGAGCGATAGAACTTAAGAACAGCCCCGGTCAGTCTTATGACTAAGGACTTTATAGCCAGGTAAGCCTTCCAGCAGAGATTTCAAAAAATGTTACCTCAAGGTATTTAAAGCTGCAGTACTGATCTATTGGGATGCTATATGCCACTGGAACATATGGTCTTCTTTCCAAAAACCGTCATCTTAGAGGGGCGGATACAAAGAGATTCTTCTTTGCAGGAATTGGTAAGCCTGTTCAGCATCCTCATTAGGCCAACTTGTGTGACAGACATAACAGAACCATGTCATCAGCATTCCGTTGGCCAAGTGAAGGTGAAATGAATTCTGGGCCTGTCAGTCTCGCCACTATGTCATAGAGGTCATTAAGCAGGGGAGCTAGAATACACCTGTTTTACCCCTGAGGGTTGGCATTTCCTCAGTTAGGGAACCAGAGGTGCACACTCTTATTTTAGCTTTTAGATTGCTATTGTCCTGGGCCGATAGGGTTTTGCTTTTGGGATAGCTTTTGCTTTTAAGGGGGGTGGGGGTGGGGATAGCATGTGTGTGTGTGTGTGTGTGTGTGTGTGTGTGCTTGCTATGCTTCGTTGCTTGGCAACCATCTAAGGGTGCCTCCCCTCCTCTTCTAGGTTCCGGGAAGAGACGTGACCTTAGAGCTGTCTGTGCCGGCTGCCCTGTCTTAGATAAATATTGTAGGTTCACATGTGGGGGGGATGTGAAAGTGTGCTCATTTGTAGGCAGGCTGACTGGAATGTTTGATTGGTCAACCTTTTTTTTTGGGGGGGGGCTCTTTGAATGGGGTAAAACTTTTGGATTGGCGCTGGATTCAACAGTCCTAACACAAAGATGTCTTAGCTTGCTGCATCTCTGTATCTCAACAAACAAATCTTTGAAGAGTGTTGTTGAACCTGAAGTTTGCGCAAGAGTCTGACAGCTATGGAGTTCACATATCAAAAACAGTAGCCATTTACCAATGTTTGTAATGGCCAGCTTTGTCCAAAGTCGGTCCCTATCAACTGAGTCAACAGCAGCTTTTAGGTCCACAAAGTATTTTAGGGCAAGGCGGCATAAGATCAGGCAATGATCAATTGTATTTTGCCCTTTTCTGAAGCCCACTTGCTCTGGGCAGATTATTTGGTTGGAGGCTTCTCTGTCCTCCTACTTACCTAAGAGATATTTGCTGTACATTTTGGAGACTATTTCCAGCAGGCTAATTGGGCAGTAACTGCTGGATACCTGTTTATCCCCATTTTTATATATTGGGACCACAATGCTGCATTTCCACCCTAAGGGAAAGACCCCTGTTGTGTTGATCTCGGTGAATAGCTTGAACAAAATTGGGGCCCACCAGTCAGGGAAGTATTTGAATAGTTCGGGGGGGGGGATCATGTTCTCCCCTGGGGCCTTGCCAGAAGAAAGGGAGGCTGTCTTAGGTCCAGTTCCATTTACCATAAATATCTGGACATTTCGGAATTTCCCTTGTCTTCAGCAGAAACTGGACGGAATTAAGGACACTTTCAACCTCTTGTTACTGCAAGGAACTCTGTACATGCTCTGAGGAACCTGCTACAGCTTACGTAGTGTGTATTTAGCTTAGCTAGCTCAACAGTACTGCTTCTCATTTGAGCCTTTCCCTGTATTGTGTTTTTTTGCTCTTTTGGAATCCAACCACCTTTTCCCTTTGCTTCTCTCTTTTATAATAAACCTTTTTAAAAAGCCATTTCTTTGGCTTCACTTAGTGCAATTTATTTCTCTGGGATATTTCTACTGACTACATGGGTGCTACCAGGCTGATTATAAAGTATTTTCTAGGGTCTCTATCCTGTCACTTTGTTATTGTTCTACTACTGTGCTGGAAGGGTGCCTTCTCAGAGGGTCAGTCTAGATATTCTCAGAAGGGCCTGAATGGTGGGTGACCAGTATATTTTCCACGGATCCCTTGTCTAAAGGAGTTTCCCAGCAAGGAAAGAAACCACTTTCCCCTTCCTACCATATCAAGTTCAATAATGCTGGTGCTTAAATTTGCTCACCAAAATAACTAAAAGAAAATTCTCAGTGTAAGGAAGGTGGAAGTCAGATATTTTCAAGGTTTGCTCTCACCTGAATATTAACAGTTCATGCAGACAGTACAGAACTGACTGACTTTTACAGGTGACAATACAAGAAATGAAATAAGCTCCACCCCACCACCAATTATGCCCTGGGAACACCAAGAAATTTGAATTAAATCAGGTATTTTGGCAGGTTTCTATAAATTTGCATTTTCCAGTCATTTGTTTTGGGCACCTGTCTCTTAAGCTATGCCATACTGGTATAAATTTTTTACTTTGATTGAATTCTGGTGTCATTAAAATAAGTTCAACTGCATTCATGAATTAGCAAATGGAGATGCTGAAAATGGTTTATTCTCTTTACCGTCTTTCGCCTCGATGTTCAAATTTGACTCGAATGTCATTCTGTAAGACAATAATACAGATTTAACAAGAAAAAAAGAAAACCAGAAGCAAAAATCATACGTGAACTTGAGTTTGTGATAATTTTCTCCCAGTTTACAGAGGGCCAATAAATATTCTCACATATCTGAAGCAATATTATTCTACTATGGGAAACACACACTTAGGAAACAGAAATCTGAGATGCAGTATACTAGTCAGAACTAATACAACAAATTTGCACTGCACACGACCCCTCTTTTATTTTGTCAAACATTTCAAGAATATTTACACTGCAATGATGAACCTTCCTAGGAAATGAGAAATCACATCAAAATGCAAGCACATGTTCTTCACTGGGGTAAACAAACACTTTATAGAATTACCTGTTTTTTTGGCGAAGTTGATTTCTCTTTGCCTGTTTCTTGTAGAGGCAACACAGGACGACTTGCCTTATGGAGGACTGCCAAATCCTGTAAGATTGAATTCAAAGCTTGCTGCTCATCTGTTTAGAAAAGAAACACATATTAGACATCTTCATCCACAGATTTAGGGATGAATTATAAGCTACATAGGAGATGTATGGTCAGATCTCCTAATACAGGCTTGGATCCTATCTTAGAGTTTCCCTCACACTCCTCTCTAGCCACTATGAAGGCTTTCCTCCACTGTGGTACTCACTTCCTCTGTCACTAACACTCCCATGTGTGAGAGATACTTCTCAAAGAGATTTTATACATGCAGAAGTAATAGCAGCAGAGGAAGCAAATGATGTAGTGGAGGAAAGCCTCTGCAATGGCAGTAGAAAAGTACAAGGGGAACAACATTATAGGGTCCAAGCCATATATTTTACTGTTAAAACACTATTGCAAAACTCCCAATTTGGTTTGGGCTATGACATGGAGAGAATTTCCTCTTTTCCCCAGTGCTATTAGTCCTGGTAGAATGGGGGGGAGGGGGGGGAAGACAAATGTTCCTATAATACCCATATTTTCCCCCCCTTTTTTTAAAACTGAACTCAGATAATAGCAGTATACAGGGTGTGGGAGACAGACCAATTTCTATCAGCACACATACAAAAAGGGTACAACTACCCACATCCTCCCAAACCATGACCCTAATCCAAATCTCACTCTCTAACCTGCTTAATATTAAAGTGATCTGATCTTCAATGTAACATATAGCTTTGGTCTCAAATTTGAAAATTAACTATAAGAGCTGTTTTAAGGAACCACTCAGGAAAATAAAAAAGGAGGCGCTAAAGCTTACTTAAATTATCATTTTTACAAGCTTTCAGAATGTGGACCCAAAATTATCAGATATCACATGAACTATTTTTGATTTTAACTAGTATGGTTAGAAATGTTAGCTTCTAAAGGGCACAAACTTATTTCCTGGCTGAAAACAAGCTCTATGCCACATAAAAGCATGCCACCTTACCAATGCAAGTAGTCTCTTAAAAAGCTCTGTGAACATCAGAACACCATAAAATTGTGCAACTTTTACATCCTATTATCTTCTTCATTATAAAATAAAGAATGTTTCCAGTAGATCTGAATTATTTTACACCACCACCACATTTGTAATCTTAACTGGAGTTCAAAAAATATTTAGTGATTTGCAGGATTCTTTCAGAAGATCTTTTGCTCAACTTTTAAACATATAATGTATTGCAGCTAAGTTGAGCTAACTCAGCACTTTTAATTTAAGCATCTGCTGAGAACTAAAAACTGCTTAGAAATTTACTTCGGAAAGAGACAAAGGGGAATTTCACATTACCCTTTTAAGCCGTTTTTAAGCCGTTATTGTACCATCTTGGAGTAAACCGGTACAGGGCTGCCATTTCACACAGCCTTTCCCCTACCAATAAGGAGCTGTCTCTGAAGTACTTTGGCATTTCAGGCTACACCGCTTTGTTTTCATGCCCTTTTCCACCCGCGTGGGCGATCACTGTCTTTTTTTTTGAGCGTTCGTTTGCTATAGCGCTATATCGCTATACTGGTATAGCACTCTAAAATGAACATTAAAAAAAAGGACGGAGATCGCCCGCACGGGTGGGAAAACAAAGTGGTGCCGGAGGAAGCGCTACAGGGCATTTTACACAGCACCCCGTAGCACTTCAGAAATGGTATTTAAAAGTGAAGACCACTTGGAAGCAGTTTGCAGGTAAAATGGTTCAGAAATGCTTCCCTAACGGGACAGAAGTGTTTCTGTCTGAAAGTGAAAATATATTAAGGTAGGAAAAAGAAAAAGAAATGCAAGAAAGCAAAGTGGCTTTCTGATGAGGCTTTACAAATAGCAGAGGAAAGAAGGAAAGCAAAAGGCAAAGGCGAAAAGGAAAGATTTACCCAATTGAACACAGATTTCCAGAGAACAGCAAGGAGAGATAAGGAGGCCTTCCTGAATGAACAGTGCAAAGTAATAGAAGAAAACAATAGAATGGGAAGGACTAGAGATCTCTTCAAGAAAATTGGAGAAATCAAGGGAGCGTTTCATGCAAAGCTGGCCATGATAAAGGACAAAAACGGTAGGGACCTAACAGAAGCAGAAGAGATTAGGAAAAGATGGCAAGAATACACAGAAGAACTATACAAGAAAGACCTCGATGTCCTTGACAACCACGACGGTATAATCACTGACCTTGAGCCAGACATCCTGGAATGTGAAGTTAAATGGGCCTTAGAAAGCATTACTAACAACAAAGCTAGTGGAGGTGATGGTATTCCAGCTGAGCTATTCAAAGTCTTAGAAGATGATGCTGTTAAAGTGCTGCACTCCATTTGCCAGCAAATTTGGAAAACGCAACAGTGGCCACAGGATTGGAAAAGCTCAGTATACATTCCAATCCCAAAGAAGGGCAATGCCAAGGAATGTTCAAACTATCGCACAATTGCACTCATATCACACGCTAGCAAGGTCATGCTCAAGATCCTACAGGCTAGGCTTCAACAGTACGTGGATAGAGAACTACCAGAAGTACAAGCTGGGTTTCGAAGAGGTAGAGGAACGAGAGATCATATTGCCAACATTCGCTGGATTATGGAGAAAGCAAGAGAGTACCAGAAAAATATCTACTTCTGCTTCATTGACTATGCTAAAGCCTTTGACTGTGTGGATCACAACAAACTATGGCAGGTCCTTAAAGAGATGGGAGTACCAGACCACCTCACATGTCTCTTGAGAAACCTGTATAAGGGCCAAGAAGCGACAGTTAGAACCGGATACGGAACAACTGATTGGTTCAGCATAGGAAAAGGAGTACGACAAGGATGTATACTGTCACCTTGCTTATTTAATATATATGCAGAGTACATCATGCGAAATGCTGGCCTGGATGAATCACAAGCGGGAATTAAGATTGCTGGGGAAAAGATCAACAACCTCAGATATGCAGATGATACCACTCTAATGGCTGAAAGTGAAAAGGATCTAAAGAGCCTCTTGCTCAGAGTAAAAGAGGAGAGCGCAAAAGTGGGCTTGAAGCTCAACATCAAAAAAACTAAGATCATGGCATCCGGCCCCATCACTCCTTGGCAAATAGAAGGGGAAGTCGTGGAAGTAGTGACAGACTTCACGTTCCTGGGATCCCAGATCACCACAGACTGTGACTGCAGCCATGAAATTAAAAGACGCCTGCTCCTTGGGAGGAAAGCGATGGCGAACCTAAACAGCATGATAAAAAGTAGAGACATCACCCTGCCAACAAAAGTCCGCATGGTCAAAGCAATGGTATTCCCAGTAGTCATGTATGGCTGCGAGAGCTGGACTATAAGGAAGGCCGAGCGCCGAAGAATAGATTCTTTTGAACTATGGTGCTGGAGGAGACTCTTGAGAGTCCCTTGGACTGCAAGAAGAACAAATCAGTCAATCCTCAAAGAAATCAACCCTGACTGTTCCCTGGAAGGCCAGATAATGAAACTGAAGCTCAAATACTTTGGCCACCAAATGAGAAGGGAGCACTCACTGGAAAAGACCCTGATGCTGGGAAAGATTGAAGGTCAAAGAAGACGGGGACGGCAAAGGATGAGATGGTTAGACAGTGTCATCGATGCAACGAACATGAAGTTGAGCCAACTTCAGAGGACAGCGGAAGACAGGAGGGCCTGGCGGGAGCTGGTCCATGGGGTCGCGAAGAGTCGGACTCGACTGTGCGACTGAACAACAACAACCCTAAAACCATTACTGAAATGTCAGACCAGAAACCATTAGGGAACAGTTCCTGAACCGGAATACATCATCTGTCTGAAATTTCCCATAAACAGAAAGTATTAAATACAAACATGTGAGTCATTTGTAGCATTCAAGGGCCCAATTCTGAAGAGAAGAAGAGAAGATTGGATTTATACCCCGCCCTTCACTTGGAGTCTCAGAGCGGCTTACAAACTCCTTCCCCTTCCCCTCCCCACAACTGACACCCTGTGAGGTGGGTGGGGCTGAGAGAGCTCTGACACAAACTGCTCTTTTTCAAGGACAGCTCTGACAGAGCTTGTGACTGACCCAAGGTCACATCAGCAGGTGCAAGTGGAGGAGTGGGGAATCAAACCCGGTTCTCCCAGATTAGAGTCCGCACACTTAACCACTACACCAAACTGGCTCCTTAATTTTATCATAGTAAGTGAGCACTAAAAGACACAGCAGATAGTTTATTGAGCTTTGATGGTGGAGATCTGTATTCAAATAACTTTTAAACATGAACCAAACACAGAAACTTTGAAACAGCCTCCCCTAGCCCCATTGACATCATTGGCTGTAAAGAGGATAAAGCCAGTTAAACATTTTGTAACCTACAATAAATCCATAGCTTAGAGAAAGATAAATAAAAATAAGATTACAAGTTCTACAGAGTTCAACATGTCCTTATGCATTTACAAAACAAGCGAACTGTACTGAAGAGGCAGAGCAGTAGGGAAAAAATGGAAACTGGATCAATGGGGGGGGGAAACCCTGTCGCTTCAATATCAACAATGCAATCCTGTGTAGTTACTCCAGCTCAAACCCGTTGATTTCTATGGGCTTAAGGCTAAAATAACTCTACGTAGGATTGAACTGTAAGCCATTCATGTTTCTACACCATTACAATTTAATACAGATCACTGTTGCTAGGGCTTCAAACTTAACACAAGAGGCATGGTTCAGTCCACATACCTCATTGTGACACTCTATCGTCATTCTAATGTCTAGTCTGAGGTGACTAGTCAATCAATTAAATTACCTTTATTGGGACTGACATTAAAAACAGTAATAGACAAAAGATAAAGAACGAATACCAAAGAAGGGGAAAAAACATTCGAAGATAGTCTAAAATCAATGTAAAATAAGTCTCAATTTCATATCTTCTGAATGCAAGTTTTGTATTATAATACTGTACTACGAATAGAAAGAGCAGCCTGCAAGAACTCTGCCACAGAAATGGTTATATTTTCGACTTCCGGTTGATGGCAGCGCGCTAGCAGACTCACCTCCTGGACCTCCCGGGGGTGAAGCTGCGCACCAGCAGAAGGAGGG